GTTCCCGTGCGGGTTGTTTATTTTTGACTGTCCCGCAGGAGAAGTGGAAACGGAGCCATAACGGGGCTCTGTGGGAAGGCAGGGGACGGCACGGTGCATCTGCAGCCGATGCGCCCGCATCCGTGGGCTGAAGGCCCCGAGCTGTGACATGCTGCGGTGCGGAAGCGTAGGACCCAAGCAAATATTTCTGGGCATTTGGAAAACGATGTACCTCTGCAGAGGTTAGAAACAAGGTGTGATGGGGAGGGAGGGAACGTGGGGGCTTCTTTTTCATTTCAGAATTTTAACAAATGCAACCAGGAACGCGGAGCTGGGGCACAGCTGGCAGCTCAGCGCACCCCACCGTGCTCCCTGTGGCCCCTTCCTCAACTCCACGTGGATTTGTGCCACCTTCCAAGGGGGCAGTTGTTCGGAAAAGAATTTGGGAATCCCCTTCATTTGTTTCATTTCCAGCTGTTTCTCCTCAGCACCACAGTGGTAAGTCAGGGATGGGAGAAGAGAAAAAAAAAAAAAAAAAGGAAAAAAAAAATGACACACCATGCCAACCCCCAACTTATCGACGTATGCGGGGTTTAAGGCAATGTTTTCCCCATCGAGTGAGAAGTTCAGTCTGGAGTTACTCTCTAGGAGGTGAACACGCCAACAGTGCAGCCCATAGCAGCCACCAGCCTGGCCTGCCCGGGGCAGCTCCTGGCGAAGTGAGCTGACTGGGGTAAAACACCAGCTTTGCAAAGCAAAAAGGAAGTCGCCTGCTCCCAGGGGACTTCACGTTTATTCCAACACTTGCTAACGTCGTGCTTCAAGCTGAGCTTCCAGAGGCTCCACATCTCTCCCCATGCAGTACTTCGCCTAATCAACATCTGAGACTTTTTATATCTGCAAAGCCTGCAGGAAAAGATGACTCAGAAAGCAAATGGGAGAGAAAAAAAAGGGCAAATTTTAGGTATCGGTCCACATTGTGCAATCATGCCATTTTTAGCCTAGCTGACAAAGAGCTCACATGCACCATGCTGGTGTCCTAGGATGGTTCATTTCATACATCTGTGTTATCTTCATATGGCCTGGTTCCCTGGATGCCACCCACCGCCAGGCTCGTACCAGCCCTGCTCTCAGCCTGCTCCCTGATTAAAATTGCCTGAGAGGCTGCTGGTCCCTCACCCAAGGCCACTGATCCTGCTGACACACAGCCCTCCTCCCTGCTCGCTTCCAGCAGCCAGAACCTTCCCACGGTCCCCAAATGCAGAACCCCTTCCCCAGCATGGCCCACTGCCCTCAGCACCCAAAAGAGAGAAGTAGGAAAGCCCCCCTGCCCTGGATTTTCCCAGAAAGTTTTTCCTCTGTGCACAACAATATTTAAAGGCAATATGAAGGGCTTTTATGTAAAGTACAAAAACCTGTTTAAGAGTCCAGCAATTAGTGCTGTTGCTGTTGAAGCCAAGACGATTAAGTCCACTCAGATGAAACAGGAGCGGCTGACAGCATAGTTGATGTCAGTCGGAACTGCAAAGCTGCAGCCCTTCTTTTCCTGGACCATCACAGCAATTCTCCCTCCCTCAAGTCACAATACAGAGCATACTGTTGCTCCAGTTGATTCCGCAGGTGCAATACTCCCAACAGCATGGAAGACTAAGTCCCGCCAACAAGCAGGAAAGACGAAAAGAAGCATTTCGGTCTTGTGTGCTTTCTCCCAGAAAAATCCCCGCCTGCTGAATGGCAGGGAGGCTCCCTCTTGCCTTGGGAGCAGGGCTGCAGCAGGCTCTGGTCTTCTGCTGCAGGTTTTGGGCTGCTCATCCTGCTCAGGGAGCAGTTGGCTAGTGCAACATGGCCTTCGCTCTGCTTGCAAAGGCAGTAGCCAGAAAGGTTTAAATACAATCAACAACTGTAAATAAAAGTAAGCCAAGACCAAAACTACTTTTGAAATCTAAGAAACAAAACACACTGGAAAAGTTACCTTTATTCCATTGTGATGGTTTAACCCCAGCCAGCAACTAAGCACCACGCAGCCACTCACTCACTCCCCCCCATCCAGTGGGATGGGGGAGAAAATCAGGAAAAGAAGTAAAACTCCTGGGTTGAGATAAGAACGGTTTAATAGAACAGAAAAGAAGAAACTAATAATGATAATGATAACACTAATAAAATGACAACAGTAGCAATAAAAGGATTGACATGTACAAATGATGCGCAGGGCAATTGCTCACCACCCGCCGACCGACACCCAGCCAGTCCCCGAGCGGCGAATCCCCGCCCCCCCTTTCCGGTTCCTAAACTAGATGGGACGTCACATGGTATGGAATACACTGTTGGCCAGTTTGGGTCAGGTGCCCTGGCTGGGCATGAGAAGCTGAAAAATCCTTGACTGTAGTTTAAACACTACTGAGCAACAACTGAAAACATCAGTGTTATCAACATTCTTCACATACTGAACTCAAAACATAGCACTGTACCAGCTACTAGGAAGACAGTTAACTCTATCCCAGCTGAAACCAGGACATCCATAAAAGTCTCTCAAGTTGTCCACAGAATTTACCAGAGGTGTTTCCCCATTTTTTTAAATGCCTTCAGTCACCTCCCCATAAGTAAACCTACTTAATTTTCATGCAGAAGAGTAGCCAGAAAGGAACAGGAAGGGTTTGTGAGTCCAGGCCACTTAGATTAACTTTCATTAGGCTCTCTGCTGAGGTTGCTGGCGGGATGCTGTCTGACGTGGCACAGTCCTCTTCACTGCAATAGCGTGATTACATTTTAATAAGTACTGTAATATTAAAGCACCAGCCTCCCCCCACAGCTTGCCGTGCCTGATAGCACCCTTTAGCTGCATACTGCAGGGCTGCTCCTGGCTGCCAGAAACCCCAAGTAAAACGTTTGCGTTTCAGCAGCAGCCCTCGACATGCAGAGCGGCAGCCCCCACGTCCCTTGGGAAACGGGGCACGAGGGAGGAAAGCACCTGCACTCCCTCAGCCTGCCCCAGTCCTCACCCAGCCCGGGTAGGAGAGCGCAGGTTTCACCAGCCCCCAGAGTGGGGGGGAGATGCCCGAGCTGCTTCCTCAGCCAAATTTCACCCGACAGCTCTGAAGTGCAATAAATGCTCCTTTTCTCCTCGGTGGGAACAGCGAGGGGTGTCCGGAGAAACAGAGTTCAATCAGACCCACAAGCACAAGGCAATGGCGGTGCTCATCCCCTGCAGGCACAGGGGCTGCAGGAGGGCTAGCTCGGGGGGGGGGGGGGGGGGCAGGGACCGGACCACCAGCAGCACCCCTCCTTCCTCAGGTGAGTCCCAAGGGTGACGTGCTTGAACCACGGCCCCGCACTCTCCGGTCCCTCCCAGCAACCGCAACAGAGCAAGCAGTGCTTCCCGGTAGTTGCTATGGCAAACGCTGGATCCTGCCATCACAGCTCAGTTCGGGATCAGTTTTTGCCCAGAAACACACAGATCAACGCAATTTTTTGTCATACAGGCTAGTTATCGACAAGAATTTTCCTTAAAGACTAAAAAAATACCTTTTCCCCTCTGAGGGAAAGCAGTGGCAGCAAGGGACCGACCCATTTGCTCCTCTCTTACCTGCTCGGGGAGCTCCAGGCACCCACCCCGGGGCTACGGCAGAGGTGGCACCCTCCTACACAGCTCCTGCAAATGTTTTCACTCAATTAGTTCATTTAGGTGGCCCCATGCTTCACTGAGCATTAATCGCACCTAATTGTGCCTGGCTGCTGAATGGCACATAAGCAGCGTCACTTGGATTTTGTAAATTTGTGGTCAGGCTGTCTCGCTGGAAATGGCCGGGGTTTGGCTTGCAGTCCCCTGCTGTGACCCCGGCCCAAACAGCCGCCAAAGAGAAGCCATCTGAAGGTTTGTCTTGGCATGCAGTATGCAGAGCATGGCATACAAAGGAAGCACACGCACCTATTTTGCTCCGCTCCGCCCTGCCACCAATACCACACCGGCCAAACCCTCTGACAAAACCATGCGTAGCGACTAATTTAGCAACACTGATTTTTCTCCTTCAGGGGAAGAAAAGAAAAAAAAAAACCACACGGATAGCAGACAAGCAAGAGATTACACATCCAGTTTATAAAATGAAGCACGATTATATTTTATTCCGGCATCCCTATCCATCCCCGCACATGGAGCTCGCACCCTTGTGCAAAAGCATTTGCTGCCACGTGGAGCGGATGCATCCAGCCTGGAGCTGCCCAGAAGGCTGATGGGCAAAGAACCACGATTTCAATGGAAATAGCCATTTGTACCATGATCAGATGTGGAGAAGAGGCTCAGCAGTACCGCCTGCCCTCCTTATTGCTGCTCGACACCAGCGGGGCTCAGGTCAGGAGAGGTTTTGCTAACGCGAGCCCGCCTGGGCTCCTATTAAGGCTTAACTGGTGAAGTTCAATGCTAACATTTTCTGTACATACGCAACACAGCTAAACACCAATTAAAAACTCCTACGCACAGTTACTCCATAGATAACACCACAAAAGAGAAAGAAATCGACAGTCGCAGCCATAGGGCAACCTGGGTGGGAAAAAACACTTCCAAAGGTACAACTAGCTGTAACAGC